GTCATGCTTGTGTGAAATTACATTTGTATTTTCAAATGTAGGTTAAAGGACCTTACTGCTTGTTCTGTCACCTCCACGCCCAAGGTAGGGATCCTGGTACTCAGCAAAGAAGGAACAGCTATAATCATATCTCTCTAATCTCCAAAAAAGCCTAGAATATTTATTTTTCACAGCCAAACTTATTCACAGCCAAACATAACAGTATCTTAGGATAATAAGAGAAACACAAAAAATAATTATTTCCCACTTGACAGTTAACGAAAAGAAACAACAAAAAAACACAACACCAAAACATCACATGTACAAGGAAAAGTGCAACACCCTCATCTGAGTCCTACTGGAGTAGAAGGTGGAAAGCGGCGCATAATAATAATAATAATAATAATAATAACAATGGGACCTGCAAATAAAGAACAGACATCACATCAAAGACATCAACAATATTTACCAATGGAGGCCCAGGGTAGATAAACGTATTCACATTCCGCTTCATATAGTCCAATTTTTCTTAATTTATACAATTTCTTTAACTGAAAAATACATACACAATTCTTTAGATCCTTCTGTTGAGAATTCCACAATTTTACACCAACCACCGAAATACACATTTGCTTTAGAGTAGTCCTTGCACAAGGATGCTTAAAATGAAATGTCCTTCTGTGGTCTTCCTTGTCTGATCCAAAAACAAACAACTGTTGTAAATGTTCTGGTAATACTCTGCTTTTTGCCCTGTGCATTACTAATAATGTCTGTAACTCAGCTATCTCTTTGAGTTTCAAGAGTCCTGACTTAAAAAACAGTCTGTTGGTGTGTTCTCTTGAATCAGCTTCATGAATGATTCTTACTGCCATTTTCTGTAATATTGACAATGGCTTTATGTTGCTCATGTACGTGTTCCCCACACTACGTATACAGTAAATACAAAATGGCAAAATGAGTGAACAGTATAATATTCTCAATGCCTTGTAATCTAGCAAATACTTTGCCTTGTTCAGAACATAAATATTCCTAGACACTTTCGTTTTAACATGTGCTATTTGTGATTTCCATGTCAGGTTATCATCCAATGTCACACTCAAAAATCTAAATTCAGAAACCCTTTCAATAAGAACTCCATCAATAGACAGTGAAATGTTTTCATCCTTTTTTCTATTAGCAAAAACCATAAACGTATCAAACCATCTTTTAAGTTTAACCATTTCATGTCCAATACATTTAGCTAAAATGTTTAAATCGTCTCCTGAACAAAACAATGTGTGTCGTCTCGTCTGCAAACAACACAAATTGCAATAATGTTGACGTTTCACATATGTCATTGATGTACAAAATGAAAAGTTTAGGCCCTAAAACCGAGCCCTGTGGGACACCACATTCTATGTTCATGCCTATGGTTCATACACTCCTATGTACTACCAGCAAATTGTACATATTGTTGTCTGTTATCTAAATAACTTTTTAACCAATCTAGAACTACTCTCACACCATATGTATATCATTTTGAAATTCAAATGAATAGGTTATGGTCTATGGTGTCAAATGCCTTTTTTAAGTCAATAAATACACCTATTGTGTATTTCTTTCTTTCTATAGCTGTTGTAATTTCTTCTGTTATTTTCATTAAAGCTAAAGCTGTTGATCGATTTTTCCTAAATCCATACTGACTCTCACTCAACAACTCATTATTTTCAATTAAATCATCACATTTTTGGACAAACAATTTTTCAAGAACCTTGTGAAAGCTAGGACACTATTTTCATGCTATCTGGAAAAATACCTGTCTGAAGTGAAAGATTAAAGATGTAGCTTAGCGGTTTAATAGTCAATAGTCGTTGTCACTATTGTCATGACGATCCCATCACTATCAGTCAAAGTCTTATTTTTGCATTTGTCTACAATGGATCTAATTTCAATTTTGTTTATCTCTCCCAGAAACATTGACGCCACCCGTCGCCAGGAGTTTGTATCTTCCTGGTGGAATGCACTTATTGTAAGTCGCTTTGGATAAAAGCGTCAACTAAATGCAATGTAATGTAATCAATATGTCGATTTTTAGGAAGGACTCATATGCAGCATTTACATCTTCTACATAAACCCCTCTCCACTCTTCCTTTAAGAGGTCACTCCTAAACTTGTCTTTTGCTTCAGCAGTCCTCACCCGGACATATCTACTGCGAGTCTCTTCCTTCTTTTTCTTTCATTGCCAATCATATGCTACAAATACAGGTAAATGGTCGCTTTTGTCATTTATTATTAGCCTAATCACCTAATAAAAGAAATAATCAATACTTCTCAATATTTGGTCCACTAACCATATTAAACATGACCATTTACTTTTTTGGTGTAATAAAACATATTATGTAACTACTTCTACTTCTTTTGGTCATTATTATATTTGTATATGATTTTAGCACAGCTGTTACACCAGCTTAGACATGCTCTATACTCTGCAGCCATTTGGTCATTTCAGTTCTGCTTGTAATAAGTACATTAGTAAGAGGATATATTTAGAGAGAGTGCCTCACCCGGTTTTTCCTCCAGGCTTTTCCTTCACGCCCATTTTTCAAAACTGAACAGAAGGTGGAGTGAAGCGCTCCACGGAAATCCTTCTCCACCCAAGTTATGAATTCATGTCTCATTTTCTTCCCTTTTAACCATCAGAAATGTGATAAAAGTTTTCTTGAGAAAAATAAATAGGAAACATTATTAGTTTTCACATGGAAGTGAAACTTAAGGGTTAGAAAGTGTAAAATCCCCTTTACATACACCACATAACTGGCATATCTACACTCCTGATTCTCTCAATAATCACATTTCATCTCCCTCATAGCTGAATCATCTTCATATGAATGTCACAAAGTCAATCCAGCCTTGAAGGTGAACACAAAGTAATAAAAGACTGATCTTTTGACTCATTAACAGAAGAAACTCTGTTGCCAGCATACCATGTGCTGCAGCCTGCAGTTAGACTTGTTATGAAACGAGTCCCTCCCAGGAAATAGTTTCAGCGGACCAGCTTCAGGTTTCACTAGAGAGGAGCTGACAACACAAGCAGAAGTTACAAGCTGGTGAGTCGCTGTTGTTGTAATTTGACTAACCATTATCCTTCAAAAAGTGTGAATCATGGGTCAACATCTTACTGGGGAATGTGACAGAGACCTGAGAAGCCTTTTCTGTGTGCTAATATGTGTGTGTGTTTGAGTGCTTTTGGAGGAAGACAGAAACAGAGAGAACACTAAAATAATTTAGACCAGCTTCTCTTTTTGTGATCGGCATTAACAAAGGATAGAAGTGGTTTCTTTTTTGTGTTTTACGTTTAATGGTGACGTTTAATGTTGTTTAATAAGTCCTTCCCAATTTGAATTTCCTCATATTTTCCAGGATATCATGTGTGTCTAACCCCTGACCCTGAATATCCTAAAGTGAGAAGAGTAACATCCGAAGCGTCTGCTGACCTTTGACCTGCAGGTCTATGTTTTCAGTTTCTGCCGGGATAAGAAGGGCTTTAGTGACTGTGTGTGTAATCAAAATAACTATCTCTTGTATCTCTCACTCGCGTATCTTTCTGTGTGTGAGTGTGTATATATCTGTATCTGAATGTGTGTGTGTCAGGTATAGGAGAGTTATAAGCTATCTGTGAATCCTAATGATGTTGGAGTTGGTGCTTACACAGCTATGAATCGGCAGTACAGCATTATGTCTGGAAGGTTAAAAGGTTTCAATTGGGAGGGAAAGTCAACTACTAGAAAATCATTGAAAGGGCAAGGTGTCAAAGATACAAGGGCTACTACGGCAACCAAATGTACATTTAACTGAGCACAAAACTTTAAAACGCCATGTAACACTAAATATATGCCATGTGAGGGGTGGAGTGGCATCTATGATGTCTGCTTTCCCCAGACATGCACCGACCCCTGCTGACTTACTCATCTGCACGGCATTATCTACAGAAGCATGGAACAGGAAAAAAGCTCTTTAGGAATAAAGCAATAATACTCTTGACAGAAGAATCGTGAGGAGTTGACAGATCACGCCCCCCGGGGCCCACCGAGCATGGTTGGCAGTCTCTGCAGAAACTACACACATTTACAATTAGGATAGGAACAAACATTTCAGAAATGATTGCATATAGAAGGCTTAAATCCTGTTGGGAAAAATGTTTCTCTTTGGTCGGTGATTTGCAGTATTTGATTTCTAGGCTGGGGCTGAGATTTGGTGGATAGTTCCTGCCGAGCAGTTCTTGAGCACAGGGAAGTTGAGTGGGAGAAGGAACCATAAATGTAGCATGCAAGGATTTAATGCCCAGTTCACTAGCAGGGACCACGCCACAACAGTGTGATGTTTGTCGGTTTATTGCAAGAAGTAACAATGAATTGATATGGAGGGGTTGATGAGATGTTCTGGTCTGGGAGGATGTGCTGTGGTCCGTGCAGAGGGAGACTGGGGTTCCGTCTCCGGCATGATCTGCTCGGGCTGATTACGGGCCCCCAAAAAGAGTCAGATTAAATTGAGCTGAGTTGAGCGTGTGCATGTCTGAGATGTTTAGATTGTTGCGGATGTAAGCGTGGTAAGCTCGATGGAGATTTCTCATTTTCCATTGTTTGCTTCCTGGGTTCTGTGACGTGTGAACACCCAAATCAACAACAAATGACCGGATTGGCCCAAATGGACCAATCCGCGGAGCACCTCACACACCAGGATCCCTTGGCTAACTAACAGGGAGTCCCCATTGACTTGCATAGAGCTCCCTGAACGCTGGTAATAGACGAGTTGGGATGGTGGAGAAATGCTCTCCGCAGCAGACCCATGCTCACAGCGTTATAAACCTTTTTCTTACTCAATATCGAGCCACACTTATTGTTTTTACTTCGGCTGTGAGTGTTTGTGTGTGCTCAGGATGAGTTTCGCTTGTTCTAGCTGTATCGCCGACCCGGAAACCTGTCTGCTCCTCGCAGCAGCTCGCAGCAACGAGCCTCTCAACGTCCCGACCAATCAGAGCACACTGGGTGGGTGCAAAAAAAAAAGGTGGGTTTTCAGGCAGGATTTGAAGGTTGAGAGTTAGTCCATATTGCGGAGTAGGTGCATCCACAGTGTATTCTGTAGTTACTGTGTACACAAACTATGTTTAATCAACTTGATTTTCTCCACACATGTTTCTCTCTCTTGCAGCTCTGTGCCATGAAGTCCTCCTCCCTCCTCCTCCTCTCCTTCCTCCTGGGTGTGTGTGGTGTTCAGGGGGCTTCAAGTTTTAAAATCTGTGCCTTTAACCTCCATCACTTTGGGGAGTCCAAGGTCAAGAACAGCAATGTTGTGCATACTCTGGCCAGGGTGAGAAATACTCTGATGTCTTTAACTTGAATTTGCCTTTTGAGATAACATGCCTGACGTTTTAACCACCTTCTCTTGATCAGTAAGGACTGATTCCAGCTGAGGTCCATTTTTAGTGACATTACATTACCATTGAGACAAAACAATTCAAATGAACCAGAGCTTCCTTATTACAGTGCAAGTCTGGGATATGCAGACTTCTTATTATTTTACATTTCAAATTCATTATAAAGTATATCGTGGGTGTTTGAACTGTAATATGCAGCAAAACTTATTTGGTATAGTCTAAACTAAATAAATATAGGTAAACTGAGAACATTTTTTTTCTCAATACAGATATCAAAAGGTACAAGTGATTTATACAATATTCTAATTCCAGGTTACATTTCTATTTCCACATTCCAAGTCCAGGTTCAATTTTTTTTAATTTTGCAATTTGAAATTAATATTCAAAATTCAAGTTCCAATTCTAAATTCCTATCCCAAGGGTGCGGTCGAATTGTCCTATCATCTTTCCCTAACCACTGTTGCTTGACCTCTGTGTGAAACATCACAGGGTTAAGGAATAGTGGATAGGAGAATTCAAAAGGACTTAGAAAATCAGACTGCACTTACACTATCCAACGTTTATTACAGTCTATGGTTTATGATGAGCCAGCGGATGTTATTAATGTGCGTCTGCAGTGGGGGAACTACAGTTCTCTGTACAGAGGACTACTCTAAGCGCACATAGATACTTTGCACCATGCACTATCATGGTGTTGTTCTATGCAGGCTTTATGAATGTGGACAACAGTGAAATATATATTCTTCATTAGGCCTGAACTGAAATAAAAAGTTGTACAGCTCTCTTAATCCAGGTGTTATAATAACTACCATGGTATTCACAGGCCATGGTAGTTATTCTATACATAGCTATGGTCTTAATAAACAAAATGCAAAGAAATTCACTTCAGTGTGTTACAAAGCTAATCACCTCTTTCTAGGGATGGGTACCGAGCCCCGGTATTAAACGGGCCCCGGGGCTGAATTATTAAAGACCGTGGTACCGTTAAGCTCCGACGTTATCGGTCTTTTTATCGGTACTGGAGACATCTAAAAAATATGTCATGTGTATTATTGCTACACAAACATTATATTGCAGTTTTAGTGTCGCCAACTCCGTTTCTAATACGCAAAAAGACTGCAAAATGCGCCATTTTTAGTATTTTCGATCTCTCCAATCCAGACGAGAGATCTCTCTCCCCCGCCTGCTTGCGAGGGGGCGGGGCAGTTTACACACACGCAGCTGCTACATGCGGCAACACACACACACGGAGGAGATGGCGGAGAGAACGCGCTCCGAGGTGTGGTTAAACTTTACCCGTCTCGCTCGTTGCCTAAAGTGCAATAAGAGTTTAGCATGTCAGGGCGGTAACACGAGCAATTTGTCTAAACATCTTGCAAAAGTGCACCACGTTCAGATGGAGAAATGCACGGGGTTCGACTGTCTCTCTAGTAGCTCTGTAGCCCCATCCACGAGTAACGTTTCCACGTCAGGTGTTATGTATGCTAGCAGCAACACACGGAGCTAACTCAATGATTCAAACATGGGTTAATGATTAGAGGGAACTGAGTTATTTAGTTTGTTAAAGTTTCAGCTATTCTGTTCACAGTTCTGTCATCAGATTATTTAATATGATTTGTTAAAACGTTGTTGTTTCTGTTGATGTGAAATATTATGCATTTCATTTAAATAAAAAGCAATGTTAGTTTTGTTCACAATTTGTTAATTTTCATTTAATCGTTTATTTGAATAGGGACAATGCACATTAATGAACACTTTAGACAAATAATGCTTCAAGTAGGGTGACCAGGTGACAGAAAGCCACAAGTGGGACAGAGAGTATATTTGTGTGGGACAATGTGGGACATGTAAATGTAATGTTGACGCATGAACTGTCAACGGGGGTGGGGGGGGTACACAAAATGAAATATGCGGGACATCGTCTCAATTTGCGGGACGCACCAAAAGTCGTGAAAATGCTGTGCAGTCCCGCGCAAAGCGGGACATCTGGTCACCCTAGCTTCAAGTGTAAATATGCCGGATTTTAGCTTTGAGCTAATTTCCATCCGTAGTCCCTGACATACAACATATAGTTAGTTTACCTCATTTTTCTCTCCAAAAGAACCGATAAGAGTACCGTTAAAAGACCGGACCGATAAGCGGTATCGATAAAAGTAGTAGTACCGTTAAAACCTTAACGATACCCATCCCTACCTCTTTCATTGCTGTGCTGTGTTGCAGATCATCACCCGCTGTGATGTGTGTTTGCTGCAGGAAGTGAGAGACATGAAAGGGAAAGCGGTACCACAGCTGCTCGACCGCCTCAACAGGTGATGATCTCTCTCTTTCACACACACATTCAGCACACACACCTGCAGTCACACAATGCTGTGCTGTGAATGAGAGAATGTCAAACAGCAGCACCAACAGTGTGTCTTATGTCCAGTTACGACCCTGACCATGAGTATGCCTCTGTGGCCAGCGAGCGGCTGGGCAGGTCCTCCTCGTACCAGGAGCAGTACGTGTTCGTCTACAGGTGAGCGGACATGGACACGCGTGCTTCTTTCTTCACAAAAACATAAAGACAATTAACCAAAAAAATTACTTAAAGGGGACCTATCATGCAAAATGCACTTTTGTACGTCTTTTATACATGAATATGTGTCCCTGGTGTGTCAGGGAACTCACCAAGTGTCAGAAAACACAACCCTCTCTATTTTCCTCCATACCCAAATCTCTAAAAACGGGGCTGCAACGGAGCTGATACAGATTTGAATTGTTCTGACGTCAGAAAAGGGGTGCTCCGCCTATATGGGCAACTCTCCACCTATCAGGGGAATGGGGGGTTGGGCCACGGCCATTGCCGCTCGAAAGCGATGGAGACGCTGTAGTACATATGCCAGGCCTGTAAGTGGCGCTGTAGTCTGCCACAAAAGCAGCGAAGAAGACTTCTCACAGAATCAGCCCTTGCAAAAACAGGGCTGGAAAAGAGCAAATAGAGCAAAATGAGGCATGGCTAAAATGCATGATCTGTTTGGTATTTTGAAAAAAAAACTTCACAGACATGTTTTATATAGGTATGGCCCTACAATATATTATTCAAATATAGCATGATAGGTCCACTTTAAAGGGGACCTATCATGCAAAATGCACTTTTTTATGTCTTTCATACATAAATATGTATCCCCGGCAGTGATGGGGTCGTTACTCAAAAAAAGTAATGTATTACTCATTACTTTAAAAAAAAGTAATATATTACTTTACTTCGTTACTCTCTACATAAAGTAACTCTTTACATTACTTTTGCGTTACTCAGCAACACCCTATAGCCAAAACGTAAAACTTAGGCCTATGTGCACATGTAACAGTGTAAATAACAATTACTATTGCAATAAGGAAGACATAACACAAGTGTTAGGTAGCGTGGAAAAGGTAGGACCCAACTGCAGACCACAAAAAGAGGTAACGGGTCTAGAAACAAAAAATGAGCTTTATTTACAAAGCTGATGAGCAAAAAAACATGGCATGGATAACAAGGGTAGCACTAGGAATGAGAGCCAACAGGAGGGGGACAGGAAAAACCAACAATGAACCGACAAGGCACACAGGGGAAGACAAGACTAAATACAGAGAGGGGTAATAACAAGACAAGACACAGCTGGGGTAAGGGAGGCAGAAACACAAGGGCAACAGGTGAACACAATCAGACAATCAGACACAGGAGGGAAACTAACGACAGGAAGGCAAACACAGGAAGAAGGATCAGAGAAGACACAAGGGCCCGTTCTCATTTCATCAAATCCCCCTCCTCGACTCCTCGACTCCTCGGTCCTCCGGTAGTGACCCGGAAATGAATTTTAGCTCGCCATGTTGAAGGACATCTCATTTCTCTAATGCCCCTTTCACACCAACGCAACTCCGGTTCAAGCTCCGTGCTAGAGCTTTTCTGGTTCAGAACCGGTTCTTCGGTTTAGCGCCGGCTCTTTTCACACCGCTCAGAGCCCGACTGGTGCTGCCGCTGCTGCGTCATGACGTCACAGTTTACGTCGCTGAGTTTCTCCCCAACGCCGGAGCTCACCTCACAATAACAACGGGCCGGGGACTGCGTTGCTTTTAATCATACGAAGCCAGATTAAATTAAATAACGACTTCTCCAACCTTATACTTTTCTCCAGAGTGCCGTGGTTCATTGTTTATTAATGTGTTTCAGCGGCATTTACCGACCGCTGCAGTGCTGGCCGGCTGCTCTTCCACGAGTGTATTCTCCCGTTAGCTCCGGGTTAGCTCACACGGCTCTAAAGTATTCACTGTCTGACTGTCACACAAGCAGCTGATACATATCCCCAGTTCCCCTTAAGTGAATGTGTGTCAGTCTGAATTGACGCTGTTTGGTGTCAGTCTGAATTGACGCTGTTTGGCATCACAACGCTGTTATGAAAGTTTCTCTGGTATAACATAGGTGATGTTAGCATAGCAACCGAAGCTAAACTGACTACTTGCTAAGCAGTTTTCTACAGGCACTTTTTACCGACGTATTTTTCATTATGATTCTACTTGTGATAGTCGGACATGACAACCTGTGCAGCCCATGTATTGATTCCATCCGATAGCTGCTATAATAACAAACAAAACGTCTGCCTGCTCTCCACAATGATCAATAACAGCGAACGGATGGTCAAAGTAAGGTACAAATAAACAGAATCACACGAAGCCTGGTTAGTGTTGCCTGACTTTATAAAGTGTGTTTTTTTTAACAAGTGTGTGGTTGCGTTCTAGTCACTTTGCTCAGCACTACTGCTTGTTACAACTTTTATTTGCCGTACTCGCCTTAAGTGTTAGCTCAGGTTAATCTCGCCCCCCTCCGACGTAAGCGTGACGTATGCGGTTCTTGCTTCTAGACGGACAACTTTTTGGTGCTCGAAACGAACCGGATTCCGGAGCTATGACGCTGCTCCGCTGCGGTGTGAACAGGAAAACCCGGTGCTTTTCAAGCACCAGCACCGAACCGGCCCTGAAACACCGTTGGTGTGAAAGGGGTATAAATGCACCTCGAGGACCGAGCATCGAGCGTCGAGGAGGCTCTCTGGAGGAGCTATAACCGAGGATACACTGATGGGTCCTCCACGGTCTTCCACGGCTCCTTCGTGGATGCATTTCCGGGAACAGAGATGTTTCAAAGAGTCGTGACGCACGGCTGGACTTATCTCAGCCAATGACAGCTCTGCATGCATCCCCTGGATATTATTTTATTAACTGCTTTCATCGCGACGCGATGTTTACAATGAGAACAGCTGTGAGGTCCGTGCAGAAAGCAGAGCAGTGTGTATAATATATATCACTCAGTATAACAGGCCTACTCTCTTTGTTTGCTTTAGTTTAGTAGATATCTACAAACAAAGAGTCGATATTTGTCTAAAACCATTTAGTGCTTCACATAATAAAAATATACAACGGCTGTAGCCTGATGATATGCTTTAGGAGCTGTAGGTGTGTGTGGTACAGTGTGTGCGTAGATGCAGCGGACAGACAGGTCTCAGTTGGTTTGGTGTCCTCTGCTTACTTGTAATACTTGTAAATACAACTTTTGGCCCGTCATTTATTTCCCTCATTGTAGCGACCAGAGAGGTGAGAGGGGGGGGGGGGGGGGATATATCCAGTCTCTGATAGTGTTACGTGTGTGTGTGTGTGTGTGTGTGTGTGTGTGTGTGTGTGTGTGTGTGTGTGTAGCCTGTTATTGTCTCATTATACCGCACTGTGAATGAATTAAAAGTAAATATATAAGTCGTCATGAACACATCTGTCCATCAGACAGAGGGCTGCTGTGCCTCCTGTCATCATTAATGGACGTCTCTTTAAAATGACCGCTCAGAGGAGAGGAGTTCTCATTTCTCTAACCGCCTGCTGCTTCCCCTCCTCTCTCCTCGGTTCCCCTCCTCGGCTCCTCCGCTCGCATCTCCTGTGGGCGGGACTAAGTCTCGAGGATAGGAGTCGAGGAGGGGAGTCGAGGAGGGGAATTTGATGAAATGAGAACGGGCCAAGGAGGAAAACATTTCAAAACAAAGGTGGAAAATGACAACATAAATACAAAACCGTAACAACAAGTTAATACCGGTGAAAATTCTAGTTTTTGCTGCTTGTTCGGAGTCGGCACACACTCAACATCATCACTCTGGGTTCGGGGGTCTTTAGCTACTAGCTTCGTGTTAGCATGTTGACTTTGTAGGTGCTTGGAGAGGTTCTGTCCTGGACACAGTTTGCACCTTACCGTCACATTCCTGTCCTTTCTTCTTACACATTTAAAAATAATGGGCATACCTCCACCCCTCGAAAGTTATAGCTGTTAATGACTCAGCCATGTCTCTGCAGCACAACCCCTGTGACAGTTGCATGTGGACAAGTCCCGCAAATGTTACGCAAATATAAACCTGCGGCGGAAATCCCTCGAGTGACTAGAAATATTTAAAATAGTTAGAAGTTAGAATGTTATCACATTTACCAATCTTATCTACCCCTGGAACTAACTAAACTAGTCATAAATATGTTTATTATTTACTGTCGTGTCGGGTCACTCATTCACTGGATCAGCGAGCTGCATGATCTGATACAGACAGAGGAAAAGAGAGGCTCCGTTCCCGTGTTATTATCCAAAGTTACTGTAAACTTCTGAATAATGTAGTAACCAGTGGCGAACCGTGTCTATCACAACTGGACCTTCTGTAGACTAGACACACACACACCCGCCGCCGCCGCGCCCCCCCTTGCCATTATAATGTCCGTATTTTCACTGAATTGTCTTCTTGAAAAGGGTACTGTCACAAACTGGATGAATGTGAAGTATTTTGTTAAAGGAGGATGAAAGCGTAATTAAGGAGCACTATTGGAGTGACTTTGATGGTTATTGGACTCAGGATTCATTCATTTGGATTCCCGCGAATGTATGGCGCAAGTGGAAACAATTCACAAAGGGATTAAACTGTTTAAAACACATGCTCAAAGTAAGCCGGATTTTGCCGATGTGTTTATGTGGATTCAAAAGTCGTAAATAATCTACAAAATGGAGGAGACCGATCTGATCGGAGCAACTGTGACAAATAATCCAACTGAAACCGGCATGGACAATGACTATGTTTTAAAAATGCGCTTATCCAGAAAAGCCTGGTTTGGACACTTTACGGGCAGAAGAAACATTTCTATTAAAGAAAGAATTATACATTTCTGTCTTTTTATGCCTTTAATAGCTACTAACTTTAATTTTTATTCAAATTAATTAATCAATTATTTTTTATATTTTATTGTAATGAAGAGACAAGGCTTTTAGTGACAATCATGTATTGCGTTAGAATTATATGTAAAAAAAATAAAAATAAAAATAAAAAGTCTAAATATGATATTTGGCCTCAAATCATTTGAGTGACGCGCCCCCCAGGTTGGGAACCACTGAACTAGAGTATAGTCTGTCAAAGGGAGAATCTAGTAATTTTTTCGTGCAATGTTAGTAACTGTAGTGTGATTACTGAATTTATAACAATAACGCGTTACATTACTCCGTTACCGAAAAATGTAATGTGATGACAGTAACGCGTTACTTTGTTATAAATTCAATTTACTTTGTAACGAGTTACACCCAACACTGGTCCCCGGTGTGTCAGGGAACTCACAAAGTGTCAGAAAATAAAACCCTCTCTCTTTTCCTCCGTACCCACATCTCTAAAAACGGGGGTACAACGGAGCTGATCCAGATTTGCTGCTGATATGACGTAATATCGGAAATTTGGGCTGGCTTTACGCCCACGGCCCTATCAGAAACGTTGCTATCAGAAACAATGCCCTACGTGTTTTGGACGTAATATGGTCTGTGTTTACATTAGCAAGCATCGCTAACACTCAGAGCTAACCTGTACTGGAGAGAGTATGTGTAAAAAAGCAGGAAATAAAGAAAGGAACTCACCTTGTGGTAAACCCGCAAGAGAAAAAGCATTTGAGCTCCATACTGTTTCAGAAATAATCCTTGATGTGGTTTGGAACATAATATGGTATTTAATCACAGCAGCATTTAGCTGTGTAGGAGCCATTTTGTGGGTGTAGTTGGCGTGTCAGTTTACTTTATTTATATTTATACTGCAATATTATTTTGGACACTTGGTGGCAGGGGTTAGCTGCACTGGGTGTATAAAAAGGGTCATAGGTGACCGGAAAGGGCGAGGACACAGGAGGAAGAGAGCATACCGATTCCACCAACCCGGCAGATGCTCACCACAACCATTGACAGAATAATTAAACCTTGGTATGTAAACGCTTAATAAACATCATTCTAAACTGCACCAAAGGACCGGAAATCATCTATTTGTGTCTGCGTCTGGATCACTCCATCTCCTGTGAAGTAATGGCAATAAAAGAGTAGGACATTGGAACAACAAAGTTGCCATTACAAGCTGTATCTCGTAGAATTCTGAGCAGGCATTAGCTCCCCCTCCTCTTTTTTTTTTTTTCAAGCTAAGGACCCAGATCAGCCATTCTCTAATGCCCCTTTCACACCAACGCGGTTCCCGTTCTAGCTCCGTGCTAGAGCTTTTCTGGTTCGGAACCGGTTTTTCATTTCAGCCCCCGTTTTGTTCACACCGCCCAGAGCCCGACTGGTGCTGCCGCTGCTGCGTCATGACGTCACCGTTTACGTCGCTGACTTTCTCCCCAACGGCGTCGGGTCGATGATCGTGTTGCTTTTAATCATAGAGTGGCGAAGTCCCTCCCCTTCCGGGGGACCTCCATGGGACCTTATTTTGGAAAAATTATGTATTGAAGTCAATGGAGAGAGAAAGATTATCTTTCGATCCCGTTTGAATTGTGCCACGAATTACACATATGATGTTTGTCAATTTAAAAGATAATTTTGCAAGTCAAAAAAAAAATAATTTGTTGTAAAACTGTGAAGTAACACATTTGTTTGTGTGAAACGCTCAATGAACTACATCTCTGGTCAACAACACACGTCACCAAGATGGCCGTCACTACTGTCTTGTCAACAAAACGATTGACTACCCTCACTATCACCACAATGAAACACGTCCTGAAGAATGTCATGCAAAGCTGCCTGCCTGCCTTCCTTTGATTCTCTCTGAACTGCCTGATCTTTTTAATGTTTAATGTCAACCATTTGTGCAGATAGCATGAAGTAGAAAAGATCGCAGATGCTAATGTAGCGTTAGCATTTCTCCCCCGGGCTTAAATGGTGTATTATAGAACAGGGTTGCCAACTCTCACGCATCTGGCGTGTGACACACGCTTTCACTCTCAATATCACGCTCTCACGCTGCCCAAACTATTCTCACGCCAAAAACAAGATGAACCGGCGATCGTTTTTGGTTTATTTATTAAAGATACACCTTACTTAAAAAACAAATCACATTATTTTTCTAAATGGATTTCATTTTGGAAAGAAATCACCAAATTCTCCAATAATTACCTCGTTTTGGAAGAATCACCTCATTACTTTGTTTTTCAAAAATTCAAAAAAATACTTCACTTACCTCACTTTGCTAATATTTTCAAAAAAGTGTAATTGTTTTAAAGAATAACAAACGATTTCAACAAGGACAAAACTTTCCAAAAATGGACTATTTAAAATAGATAAATAATTGCTTGAGTTTTTGTTTAATCCTCAGTTAAACGTTTTTTCAAAATATCTCATTTTGTGACTGTGTGCAGGACTGACACGGTGTCAGTGACCGGACAGTATCAGTACCCTGATGATCGTGAAGGAGACGTTGATGCTTTCTCCAGAGAGCCCTTCATTGTCCGCTTCAAAGCCCCAAAGACAGGTGAGCCCTCTGACACTCACCTTCTGAGGTCATTAAAGTCGTGGTGCAGCTGAGCCATGTAAACCCTTTCCTCCACCCCCCCTCTTGTATCTTCAGATATAAAGGAGTTTGTCCTCATACCTCAGCACACCACTCCAACCAACACCACTAAAGAGCTCGATGCACTTTATGACGTTTTGCAACATGTGAGGAAGATGTGGAAAACTGAGGTAAAGATCATTTTGCCGAACATTATTGGGAACACAGTTTAAAAATTAAGCCCATTACGATTCTGTAGCCTCACCGTGTGTGTGTGTGTGTGTGTGTGTGTGTGTGTGTGTGTGTGTGTGTGTGTGTGTGTGTGTGTGTGTGTGTGTGTGTGTGTGTGTGTGTGTGTGTGTGTGTGTGTGAGCAGAACGTGATGCTTCTCGGGGATTTCAACGCTGACTGCGGCTACCTGGCTAAGAAGAACAGGAAGCACGTGAGACTGCTCACAGAGAGGAACCTCTACTGGCTGATCCCAGAGAAGACGGACACCACTGTGAGATCCAGCACCTCCTGCACCTACGACAGGTGAGCTCACACTCCTGAATGTCCAACAGACCCAGGACCTTTTACTACAGGCTATAAGCTTTCAATGTCATGTACCTACGGATTATGTCTCAGGAATATAACTTAAGGGTGTGTTTTTACACAAGAGCTAACACGATTTTTGATTTCTGAAACATAAATCACTAGAAATAAGCTTTCCATCCCGGTCTTCAAATCAATAGGACTGTTTTTTAAAGATATATTATTCAAAATGAACATATTGCCTTATTGAGGAGGCATACAGTCCAAAAGGTATAGCTGGTATATGTAGCATACATTTTCTAAGGATAATTGGCAATGTGAATGACAGTCATGAGTGTATAAAACCAATAACCTGTTAATATTTATGAATCAAAACTGTACAATGACATAGCCGGCAGTGCTGAAGAAAAGTCAGTTTAGCTTAGTTTACCTGGGCTCCATTAGCAAAGCCCATCCCTACAACTTCATAAAAAAAGATCACATTTTATGATGCCTTAAGTCTTTGACTATTTCAGAAAAATTAGAAAACATCAGTAAAATGTGTTTGTTGTTCTGTGTGACACAGGATCGTTGTGCACGGAGAGAGGTTTGCCAGATCCGTCGTGCCTACTTCAGCCGCCCCGTTCAACTTCCAGAAGGCATACCGACTCTCAGAGGAGCAGGTAACGCGGTGTGTGTGTGTGTGTGTGTGTGTGTGTGTGTGTGTGTGTGTGTGTGTGTGTGTGTGTGTGTGTGTGTGTGTGTGTGTGTGTGTGTGTGTGTGTGCGTGCGTGCGTGTGTGCGTGTGCGTGTGCGCGTGCGCGTGCGCGTGTGTGTGTGTGAGTAAGCCCAGATTCTGTTCGTCTGATGTGTGCTGAGGCTGGTTTCCTGTGTGGTTTCTGTGCAGGCGCTGGATGTGAGCGACCACTACCCGGTGGAGGTCCTGCTGAAGGGCGCTGCAGACAGAGTGTCTCTCAGTGTCGGGACGTTCCTGTCTTTGTTTGTCCTCAAAGTGTTAACATGATGTCAACACTGATGAGACTTTCCTGATTCTCCAACATGTGGAGTCCAACTGACCACATATCACAGAGCACAGGAATGTTAGGTTCAGGGTTATGAAAAACAAAACAAAATATTACTGTAATTTGTCATTATGAACATCGACCTGTTTATCTGCATAGGAGTATGATGCACTGCAGAGAACACAGTATGATGGACATGTTGAAAACGTGGATGGAGTTCATTTTCTCTTTCAGGAAAATTGGACCCTTTCATTAATCCTCTCAAATTGCTCCAAAGCAGAGAGGGTGAGCTCACATTAGCTGCTCCAGAATAATAAAGCTGCCTTCTACAAACTGGCTGCAGTATCATCAAAACTCTAAAAGCTAAATAATGCAAAAAATGATTATAAGATAATACATTCTTGTGTCCAGGATTGAAATCTAAGTGACTCAGAGTTCTCAGGTGAAATAAGTAGTTTAAGTTAATAAACCATTAAGCTAAAGGAATAATTAAAGTTCTTCAACATTATAAATCGACTCGAGCAACTGAAATAATGACATTGAGTAAAATGTGATACTATAATTTATGAATGAATGTATCTTTAACATAATGCTTAATAATACAGAGAAAAAGGTGAGTTTGTTGCCAATATTATAAATACATTATTTTACATTTTCATGTTGGAATGTAGAATATATTTTATTTTATATATGACTCTCTTTGGACTTCTTTAAGCAAATGCACATTTTTGTAATGAAATGTAAAAGCTGGATGAGTTCATATGAATCGGATAAGGTTTGTGGTGTGGTGTGTGTGTGTGGTGTGGTATGGTGTGTGTGTGTGTGGTGTGGTATGGTGTGTGTGATATGTACATATTTCTGGACTCAACACTTGTATCATTACTGTATGTTTCTTTGATTTGATACTAACAAAAAGAGAATGGCAATACATATTGCCCCTAGATTCCACCGGGTCCGTCTGCGGCGCGTTACGGCCGCGTTACGGCTGCGTTACGGCTGCGCCGCGGCGCTCACGGCGATCGCGGCCACTCTAGTCAATAGCCGCGTTCACACCGGAGTACTTTTCACTTTTCACGTTTAGTTCCGTTAGTACCCCTTATGTCGCGTTCACACCAAAAAGAGTACTTAGTGACGGGAACTTTTACCCCCATTTTTAGTGCCTGCTGAGAGATGGTACTTTCCTGGGGGAAAAAAGTGCCCCAGTTCTGATTGGCTGGGCGAATTGCAAACCACGCCCCGTACAACTCTGAAATGTTTTGTAGAGCCGTCATTTTATTATCCTGGCATTAGCATTATTAGCATTAGCATTCGCCCAGTGCACAAACGCAGAGAGACTAACTTATGGCAACACAAAATAAAACATGGGAGCGGTGGAGATGAGGAGGTGTAGGCGTTCTGGCGATTTACTCTGAAGGCTTCAGTCGAAGCTGCTGGGACTCCCAGCAGCTTCTACTGAAGCCAGTCCCCAACTCCGGGGACTTCCGGCCGGGGACTCCGGGTGGCAGTATACGCCGTGAAGTGGTTTGCGGCCTGCCAGTAAACCAAAAGCAGAAGAAGACGAAGTGACGTCAGCGGCTCATTTGCGTAATCTTCCCTCAGGGAAAAGTACTCCGGTGTGAACGCGATCTGTACTAAATGCCCTGGGGTAATAAGTGCCGGGGCACTGAGTGCCGCCACTAAATACGGCAAAGTACTTGGTGTGAACGCGCCTAATGGGTGCTATTCCACCACACGCGGCGCGTTACGGCTCAGAAGCGTCCCAGAAGCGTCCCAGAAGCGTCTCGGCGCAGGGCTCCTCTAAAATTAGGATGAATCCTATTTTTGACGCAACGCAGCCGTAAGGTAATGTCGGGCAGGCAGGAAGTGGAACGTTCAGAGCATATATAGCATATATATATATATATATATATACACACACACAAACTAATTTTGCAGACACTATCCCTCCGTATAGTCTTTCAAGTAGGAGGAGAAATGCCAGCGTTCTCCTCCGGTTTACAGGCACTGTGTAAATTATATATATAGAATAATTATGATGATGAATGCATTTTTTTACCACTAAAATACAGCAACACATCTTTGATTCATGTCGTTTATAACTGGAATATTACAGTTATTATTAACTTTGTCTGTACAAAGTAGCCTGTCCAGGAAATATGCCCAAATCAACAAAAACTGCGAGCCGGCACGCAAGACGCTCCGCTTCTGAAATGCTTCTGAAATGCACCTGGTAGGGTATGACGCCGGAGGAGGCCGGACCAAAACCGCGGCGCAGCCGTAACGCGGCGCAGACGGACCCGGTGGAATCTAGGGGTCAGGGAGGAAAGATCCTGCAATCAATTCTGTGTAATAACCACACAGCAAATTATGAAATGTATTATTTCCTTCCTCTTTTTCTCTTTCCTCAATGCAGTTTCTGTTTGGTGTATAATGTCATTTTATTTTCTTATTCTCTGTTTGGAATTCAGTTTTCTCTCAAAACACAATCATTTCTTTGTCATAAATCATGACTTCAAGATGATATAGCCTATGAGCTTTTATATAAAAATATGAACAGACTTATTAACAAACTCAGATCTCTGGCTCCAATTGATCGAAATAAAAAAAATCCTGTTTCTTTTGTTGTGGAATGCAGGCAAAACAACGACTCATCTACACTGTCAAATATTATAATCATATGTCTGTCCGTTACAATTCAGGTGTGATTAAACTGTCTAGTTGTCACAATCAGAACGTAAAGTCATGAGCCTGATCCTTACAAATAAATGGTGAGTGTAAGCAGGGGTTAAATTGGGATTTGATATGTGGGGGGGCTCTGTGTGGAAGGGGGGGGAGGGGGGGTGTCGAAGATCTCATGATTTTACCTTAAGGGCTATACTGTATATGAGGCCCTAAAGCAACTGCTCCATTATCTGTATCAAATGCAAACATTGATGCCACCAAATGACACAATACAAATAGAAATTACTTAATTTAAATTAATTTACATCTTAAATTATTTATGTACACACACAAATGTTTACAAATATCCAACCTTCAAATTGCTTTTTTTAAATCATAATTGCTCTGCACACTTGCTAGAGAACATTTTTGATGAAATCTCAGTTATAGGGCTGCGAGATTATGGCCAAAAGTATGCTGTACATTTCACTGGAAACGATTGAATCATCACCAAAAGTCGATGTTATTATGACCGATCAGAACTCAGCTTTATGCACACACACACATACATTTAGCTTGGTTTAGGAAACGGGCTCCGTGTTACAGGACGGGTCACGTGGTTTCGCTGCTCCGCTGCAGACTCTCCTCAATGTGGAGCAGCGGAGTCCGGGCGGGGGGGCTGCGGGCTGCAACTCCTGATCGGACCAGAGACACACGCTCACTAAGCCAAAAAACTATATCCGGTCACAGAGATCTGCTATTTGAAAGTGAAGTCAACACATATTGACACTAAATATAGTCTATATTAAGAACGAAAAAGGTTTTAACATATAGTTTTTTGTATATGACAAATTTGCGAGGGTGATGTCAGAGCATCGTCCTATGTGCCGGGGCTTAGCCCCGGACAGCCCCGGCCCAATTTAACCCCTGAGTGTAAGTAAGTAAGTAAAACTTTATTTATATAGCACCCTTCTCAACACGAATGTACAAAGTGCTTTACAGTACAGTACACAATTCACAGTACAACTAAAATGTAGAGTGAATGTTATGTCAAGTTTAACACCAGCATGTGTATTTGTGTTAAACATCTCACGAAAGCCAACTACTGTAGTTTGTAATCTGAGATCAAATGAAGGATCTGATTTGTCTCTACGGGAGGGATAAAAGTTTCAACCGATGGAGAGAGACAGCTAGGAAGGTAGACTACAGTCACGACCGGACGAGCAGGATAGCCCGTGGTCGCAACTAGCGGCAGAAAGTGAAGGCTCGAGGCTAGCAAAGCTAGCAAGGACCGTCAAAGCTAGCGTAGCTAACGAAGCTAACGAAACTAACAAAGCTAGCGAAGCACCGAGGAACGCCGGTCCGTGAGTCGAGCTGACGACCGGACGACAAGGAAACCCCGTGGTCGCAACGGTCGGCGGAAAGTGAAGGCCCGAGGCTAGCAAAGCTAGCGGAGCTAACGTGGTCGGATCACGTGAGTAACACGGACACTTTTTCGGCGCTATCTAGCCAAAGAAGCTAGCGGTAGCATAGCGAAAACGAAGCAGTTGCTGGCCATCAGACTGAAGGTTGCCAACAAATAAAGCTAACTAGCAAGAAGACAATAACTAGCTAGCAGACTGAAGGGTGCTAGCATACGAACCCAAGCTAGCTATCAAAGTCAAAGACACCAAGCTATTGGTTAGCAAACGGAGCTACCCAGGGAGTAAAGGAGAAGCTAGCTAAGCCAAAGGCACCAAGCTGTTGGCTAGAAAACTGAGCTAACCAGCTAGCGATCCAGCTAGCTAGCCAGGACAAGACAGATTGAGCTCAACTCAACCTTAAAGGGGACCTATCATGCAAAATGCACTTTTGTACGTCTTTTATACATGAATATGTGTCCCCGGGGTGTTCCAGGGAACTCACCAAGTGTCAGAAACCACAACCCTCTCTATTTTCCTCCATACCCAAATCTCTAAAAAAGGGGCTGCAACGGATCTGATACAGACTGATCCAGATTTGAACACTTCTATGACGTCACAGAAGTGGCGCTACGGCTATTGGGCCAACTCTCCACCTATCAGGGGAATGTGGGGTTGGGCCACGGCCGGCCATTGCCGCTCGAAAGCGCTGGAGACGCTGTAGTACATATGCCAGGCCTGTAACGGGCCGTCTCCACGGCAGCGTTAAAAAAATCTTGGAGGTGGGCGTATCTGAAGCTTGGGGATTTTTTTGCGATCAACCAATCACATGAATCTCCCGCCCGCGACATACGAAGCCAAAAAGCCCGAAGTAAACTGGATATAAACTCCCCAAAACAGGCGAAAACATACCACTGTCTCTGCCACCTCCCTCCATGCCTGGCTCCTCCGGTTTATATCCCGGTAGGTCTGGTCATAAAGCACCGGGTGATTGATTCGCTACCGCTAATTTCTCCTCCATTTTTTGGAATATGAGGAAATGATCTGCGGTATGTCTCTCCCAGCATACACGCCGTTTGATTGGCTAGAGCTTGAACTGTCAGATTTGCGTACACGGGATTTGATTGGCTGACGCTTCCTCCTCAGCTTCAAAAGTTGAACATTGTTCAACTTTGGATCTTGAAAATCCTGAGAATCTCCGCTCGCCTGCCCACAATGCATTTCGGCGAAAGCGAAAAAAAGTGACGTCACCCCATTCAAAGTGAATGGGCAGAAGCGTTTCAAGATTTTTTAACGCTGCCGTGGAGACGGCCCGTGAGTGTCTGCCACAAAAGCAGCGAAGAAGACTTCCCGCCCATAGTTACCATGGTTACCCTTCTGTTTATTCTCCGCTGTGGCTTTTTTTCTCCCTCCCGAGGCTAGCGTTTGCTCCCGCTGCTTTAATTCAATGCAATCCCTCCCCGTCGAGGCAAGCACTGTAATTCTCTCTGGTTAGTCCACCAGCAGATGACAAACACCCACCTCTCCGCCTCTTCCAAGGAACGAGGGGACCGTGCGGCAGAGTTTCAGTTTCAGTTTCTTTCGCCAGTCAAGATGTCCGTTAAAGTTGAAATCTTCCGGACACAATTAGAAAAGTGCCGGTCAAAGGTCTTCTTTGTTATTTATTGAGCTTTAAAACAAATGAATAACGACTCTATAGGCCTATAATAATATAATAAAACCATAGACTGTATATATAAATAAAACACGGAGATCTTTTTTTCTCCCCCTCTTGACTTGATCAGAGCACGGCTTCCCTCTCCTGCAGGGGCGTCAGCTGCAGCTCACAAAATCAGCCCCGTAGACAGCAAACAGCACATAGAGCGAAATAAGGCATGGCTAAAATGCATGATCTGTTTGGTATTTTGAAAACAGAAACGTATAAATATACCTTATATAGGTATGGCCCTACAATATATCATTTAAATGATAGGTG